GAAATTTCCTGGGATGAGAAACGTACCAGCTCCTTCTCTAGTAGGGTGGCCAAAGTGACCCAAAAGTGAGGGTAGCCGTATGTAGCAACCAGAAGCTCAGTGAATTGCTAATTTTTTGGTCCCTTGCTAATTGTGAAAAACACTTGGGTTTTTATAAACACTGGAGTCAAATGGACTTTAATCTACAGTAACCCCTAAAAGCATTGGGAGAAACAGGCAGAAGTTGAATATAAGAATAGAATAGTGCATGTGAAAACTACTAGGTTTGGTTCAGGGGTGAGCAGTCACCCCCAATTATATGCTATAGTGCACAGTTCTCCCCTGCAAGAGAATGTACTGGGAATGAACTGTTGCTGGGACACACACCACATACCCCCTTTGGAGAGTTTCTCTTGAGAATGTATAACTGTAAAATCAGTTATACAGAGCTAAATAAGGTACTTTGGCTATCCATGCTGCTGTACCTAATATCACTCTTTTGATAAAATAACTGATAAAAGTGATGGAAACTTTCCATCCTGTGTTGAACCTTTCTAATATATTATTTAACTATTCCATTAGTTCCTAATTCTCCAAACTAATTTTCATTCACTTTGAATGAACTTTCTGAATACTTCTCTTAGGTGGTCTTTGTTATGGGATAGTGACCCTGGAACTTGCTTTGGTATCCCATCCACTCTCTGTGAAAAGGTTTCATTACACTGCTGATATAATGTTAAACTTTGAGAGCCTTACAGGTTTCAAAAAGCTTGTGAAAAGACATACAAGTACACTTAAAGAAATGAAGATGAGACATCAATCTACACAGAACCTTCTCTGCAAACTTTGCCCACCCACCAAGTCGTGTGCAGGGCTTGGCACAGCCGTGAAAGTTTGGGATAGGGAGATCAGAAAGGCCTTTAGAGACGGACGGCCTTACTGACAGAGTGGCATTTTTAACAAAGAAGCAAACAAAGTGTTCTAGAAACAAGCCAGTTGAATAGGTAAGGAAGAATGAGTCAGAGAAAGGTAAAGTCATAGGCCATAAACCATGCCCCTATCTGGCTTGTTTAATGAACTAAAGGCCATTCTTCCCAGGGTAGAGATAAAGGGGCAAGTAGAACAGTCTAGATGTCAGTGAAACTCAGAGGACCCAGAGCTTTACTAGGAAAATGAAGGCTGACATTACCATTTAACTCAGCAAATGTGATAGCTGAGTATCTACTTGTTCTCCAGTCAGTGTTCACCATTGCCAACAGGCTAGTCTGGGCTTCCTTACAGACTGGAACTGTGTTTTGTACAGTCTTAGCTGTGGGCCTTGACCACATATGGTAAGAACTCGCAAGATATTTTCCCCTGTGTCTAGGAGATCTTTTCGTTCTTGTTTCCTTTAACCATAGCATGAGGCTTCTAGAGTATTCTGTACTTGAAAGAATTCTTACCACACTGCACTATTTCTACCCATGCATGTCTATCTTCCACTACCATGCATTCTGTGTCTTGCTTTATTAGTTATTTCTTCTTTCTACCTAGGCAGGTTCTCCCTATCCCACCAGTATCCAAAAGCTTCACCGCCTTGGATTTTCTGTATTATTTGTATCAATGTTTTCCTTAACATTAGCAGTCAGCAAAACCTCCCAGATAACTTGTAAACATGGTCTCCACCTCTAGAGTTCTTAATTGAATGTGTCTAGAGTCAGGCCTCAGAATGCCATTTCCTTTCTTTAGAATTCATAATAGTATTAATTTTGGTGTTTTTTGTTTTTTTTTTTGTTTTTTTT